TGCAGACGACATGATATTATACATACAAAACCCTAGAGACTCCATCAAAAAGCTACTAGACTTAATACATGAATTTGGCAATGTAGCAGGATACAAAATTAACCCCAAGAAATCTGAGGCATTTCTATACACCAATAGTGAACTTTCAGAAAGAGAGATTATAAAAACAATCCCGTTTACCATCACACCAAAAAAATTAAGCTACCTAGGAATAAACTTAACTAAAGAGGTAAAAGACCTCTACTCAGAAAACTACAGGACGTTGAAAAAAGATATAGAGGAAGACATAAACAGATGGAAGAACATACCGTGTTCATGGATTGGTAGAATCAACATCATTAAAATGTCCATATTACCCAAAGCAATCTATAAATTCAACGCACTTCCCATTAAAATACCAACGGCATACTTCAGAGATCTAGAACGAACTCTCCAAAAATTCATCTGGAATAAAAAAAGACCCCGAATAGCTGCAGCAATCCTGAAAAAGACCAAAGTAGGTGGGATCTTAATACCAGATATCAAGTTGTATTACAAAGCCACTGTTCTCAAAACTGCCTGGTACTGGCACAAGAATAGGCATATAGATCAATGGAATAGAATAGAGAACCCAGAAATTGGCCCGAACCAATATGCTCAATTAATATTTGACAAAGGAGGCAAGAACATACAATGGAGCCAAGATAGTCTCTTCAATAAATGGTGTTGGGAAAATTGGACAGATATATGCAAGAAAATGAAACTAGACCACCAACTTACACCATACACAAAAATAAACTCAAAATGGATAAAGGACTTAAATGTACGACAGGAAACCATAAAAATTCTAGAAGAATCCAAAGGCAACAAAATCTCAGACATATGCCGAAGCAATTTCTTCACTGATACAGCTCCTAGGGCACTTGAAACTAAAGAGAAAATGAACAAATTGGACTACATCAAAATAAAAAGCTTCTGCACAGCAAAAGAAACCATCAACAAAACAAGAAAACCCACTGTGTGGGGAAAACATATTTGCCAATGTCATATCTGATAAGGGCCTAATCTCCAAAATTTATAGGGAACTCATACAACTTAACAAAAGGAAGATAAACAATCCAATCTAAAAATGGGCAAAGGACCTAAATAGACACCTTTCAAAAGAGGACTTTCAGAAAGCCAAGAGACATATGAAAACATGCTCAAAGTCACTAATCATCTGAGAGATGCAAATCCAAACAACAATGAGGTACCATCTCACATCTGTCAGACTAGCTATCATCAACAAATCAACAAACGACAAGTGCTGGAGAGGATGTGGAGAAAAAGGAACACTTGTGCACTGCTGGTGGGAATGCAGACTGGTGCAGCCACTATGGAAGACAGTATGGAGTTTCCTTAAAAAACTGAAAATGGAACTCCCATTTGACCCTGTGATCCCACTTCTAGGAATATATCCCAAGAAAGCAGAAACACCAATCAGAAAGGATATATGCACCCCCATGTTCATAGCAGCACAATTCACCATAGCTAAGATCTGGAAACAGCCTAAGTGCCCATCAGTAGATGAATGGATTAGAAAACTGTGGTACATCTACACGATGGAATACTATGCTGCTCTAAAAAGGAAGGAATTCTTACCATTTGCAACGTCATGGATGGAACTGGAGAGCATTATGCTAAGTGAAATAAGCCAGTCAATGAAGGAAAAACACCACATGATCTCACTCATTCATGGATAATAGAGACCATTATCAACTTTTGAACAATAATAGATACAGAGGCAGAGCTGCCTCAAACAGATTGTCAAACTGCAGCGGGAAGGCCGGGGAGGGTTGGGGGGCAGGAGATAGGGGGGTAAGAGATCAACTAAAGGACTTGTATGCATGCATATAAGCATAACCAATGGACATAAGACACTGGGAGATAGGGGAGGCTAGGGGACTGTCTAGGGCGGGGGGATAAAATGGACACATATGTAATACCCTTTGTAATACTTTAAGCAATAAATTTTAAAAAAATCATTTTTCCCAAATATAATGCTATTTTTAAATACAAAAATAAATAAATAAATAAATAAATAAATAAATAAATAAATAAATATCTAATTCTTTTAGGAAATGATTATTATAAAACCTCAGTTAAAAGTTCACTAAAGATTTGAAAGTGGTAATTGTATTGAAGTAGGTCAAATTTTATTTGTATAAAACTTGCAATAAACTGGAAATGAGCTATTGCCTAAGAACAGATAAAATTATCGGAATGAGAATGAGTGAAAAGTACAATAGTTACATTATAACTTTAATAAAATTAGTATTGGAAGAGATTAATAGTCATATATATGGACTTAAATTTTTTTTATTTATACTCCAGAAGACATTCTGTGTGCTGCTATAGCACAAACATCAAACAAAACCAGAACTTGTTTATTAGTTTGAACTGTGTGCTAAGTGGAAAATTTTCAAATCCTTGTTTGCACAGTTGTGTGAAAGAATGCCAGGCGAGTTATTTAAGGTATTTATCATGCTAACAAATGTTAAGAAATTTTCTTTTCAATGAAAGCAAATCAGGGGGAAAGCAAGATCATTCTTACGTAATCATTATGTTTCTGCCCTACTATTCACCCGGAACTCCAGAAATTGCAGTAAGCTTGGTTATGCCCAGTTGCCTTAAGGCAAATCACTATAGTCTTAAAAGAGATCAATGTTTATTTTATTTAGTCTAATGTCCAAAGTCATAATCCTCCTGGGTTGCCTTGCCTGGGACCTGAGTTTCAGGTAGGAAAAGCAAAGGATACAAAGAATCATTTCAGGAATAAGTATTTTTCTTGAGTCTAAATTTAGGCCTTGGGAAAGTAAAAGCTAAAAGAAAAGTCAGAGTAAAAACTATATTTTTTAATCTATGAAACAGAATTCAAAAGCATCCCTCCTCACCCAATGCCCAAATAAAAATAAATAGCAGAAAAGGTGTGGAGGAGTCATGAGTGATTTCTCTGACACCCAGCGCCTTCCTCTCTTACAGGGACATCCCAAGGCACGCAGCAGCATTCAACAGTGAATGCTTCCAAGTCTGAGGGGCTCTGAGGCTTTTGAGCAGATGTTGTTTATTTATTTTTAAGTTAACTTTATCAATGTCAACTTCATGTATAAAAATGCATCCATTTTAAGTGCACACATTGATGAGTATTGACTAACGAGTATACCTCTGCATCTACCACCACAAATAAGATATGGGCCATTTCTATTACCCCCACAAGTTCCCTTGTGCCCTCTGTAGTCAATACAAACTCCCAGGCAACCACTGATCTACTTTCTTTTAGTATAGATTGCTTTGCCTATCCTATAATTTCACGTAAATAAAATCAAGCCAGTGCAGAGTCTTTGGTGTTGAGCTTCTTTCTTCAGCATGATTTGACACGTAAATATGTTGTACGTATCAGTACTTTGTTCTTTGATATTGTTAGTGTCCATTTCCTGATTTATCAAAATTTGTTTATCCATTCACCAGTGGATGGACATTTGAGTTGTTGCCATTTCTAGCCTAGTATGAAAACAGCCACTGTAAACAATTGTGGGCAAGTATTTTGTGAACATGCATTTCTTTTGGTTAAATATCTAGAAGTGGAATTGTTGGATCATATGATTGGATGTTGAACTTTATAAAAAATAGACACACTGTTTTCTAAAGTAGTGTACCATTCTGCACTCCCACTAGCAGTGTGTGAATTCCTGCTGTTCCATGTCCTCATGAATACCTGATCCAGTCTTAAATTTTAGTCTATCTACTGGGTGTAGTGTTATTTCAGTGTACTTTATTTTATTTCATTTTTAATTTAAATGGTGAAATGCCAAAATATTTTAATAAAAAGGAGAAACAAGAAAAACAGACATGCCTATTACATTTCATTTTAACACTGAATCACAGGTTCAAGTGAATGCAGTAAGAAAAAGAAAAGAAAAAGAAAACGTATAAAAACAGGAAAAAGTTAAAAGATTTCTTTTTACTAGCATGTACATTTTTAAAGGTTTGTTACATTTATTGGGGTAACATTGGTTAGTAAATTATATAGGTTTCAGGTGTACAGTTCTATAATACATCATCTGTATATTGCATTGTGTGTTCGCCACCCAAAGTAAAGTCTTCTTTCATCACCATTTATCCTCCCTTTACCCTCTTCTACCTGCCCCCATCCTCCTTTCCCTCTGGTAATCACCATACTGTAGTCTGTGTCTGTGAGGTTTTCTTTTCTTTTTTCTTTCTTTTTTTTTTTTTTTTTTTTTTTTTTTGCTTAATCCCTTCACCTTTTTCACCCAACTCCCCAAACCTCTTCCTCTCTGACAGCTGTCAGTCTATTCTCTGCATCTATGAATCTGTTGCTATTTTGTTTATTAATTTATTTTGTTCATTAGATTCCAAATATAAGTCAAATCATATAATATTTGTCTTTCTCTGACTGGTTGATTTCACTTAGCATAATACTCTCCAGATATATCCATGCTGCCAAAAAGGTAAGATTTTCTTCTTTTTAATGGCTGAGTAGTATTCCACTGTGTGAATGTACCTCAACTTTTTAAAAACAATATGTTTTTATTGATTTCAGAGAGGAAGGGAGAGGAAGAGAGAGATAGAAACATCAATGATGAGAGGTAATCATTGATTGGCTGCCTCCTACACTACTCCTACTGGGGAATCAAGCACACAACCCCGGGCATGTGCCCTTGACCAGAATCGAACCTGGGACCCTTCACTCCCCAGGGCAACACTATTCACTGAACAAAACCAGCTAGGGCTACCTCGACTTTTAGTATCCGCTCATCTACTGATGGGCACTTTGGCAGCTTCCACAGCTTGGCTATTGTAAATAATGCTGCAATTAACATAGGTGTGTACATATGCTTTCCAATTGGTGTTTGGGTTTCCTCTGATAAATACCCAGAAGTGAAATAGCTGGGTCATAAGGCAGTTTCATTTTTAATTTTTTGAGGAACCTCCATACTGTTTTCCGTAGTGGCTGCACCAACCTGTATTCCAACAGGGCACAAGGGGTTCCCCTTTTTCCACATCCTGGCCAACACTTGTTGCTTCTGATTTGTTGATGATAGCCATTCTGACAGGTGTGAGATGATATCTCGTTGTGGTTTTAATTTGTATTTCTCTGATGATTAGTGACATTGAGCAGAGAAGGAAACACTAAAATGAGAGAGAAACATCGATCAGAATCATTGATAGGTTTGAACCGGAAACACGCGTATGTGCCCTGGACGGGAATTGAGCCTGCCTCCCTTCGGCACATGGAACTATCCTCCCACCAACCAAGCCACGCTTGCCAGGGCTCAGGTCCAGTTTTTTTAAATATGTTTTTTTAATTGATTTCAGAGAGAGGAATGAAGAGGGAGATAGAAACATTAATGATGAGAAAATCATTGATGGGCTGCCGACTGCACACCCCCTTCTGGGGATCGAGCCTGAAACCTTTTAGTTTGATGTAGTTCCTTTTGTTTATTTTTTCTGTGGTTTCCCTGGCCCAAAGAGATATCAGAAAAATATTGCTACGAGAAATGTCTGAGATTTCACTGCCTGTGTTTTCTTCTAGGAGTTTTATGGTTTCTAATCTAACATTTAAGCATTTAATACATTTGGAGTTTATTCTTGTGTATGATGTAAGAAGGTGGTCTAACTTCATTTCATGCATGCATATGTCCAATTTTTTCATCACTATTTATTTTGATTTTTTAAGTTGTTTTTATTGTTTTTTAGTACAATGTTGAATGGTGAGAGTGGAATTCCTTACCTTGCTCCCAAATACCAGCATTCAGTCTTTAACATTAAGTTCGCTGCTAACTTTACATTTTTCATAATTCATGAAGGGATTTTTAATCATGCAGGATGTTGTATTTTAATAAATATTGTTTTGCATCTATTGAGATAATCATATAACCTTCCTCCTTTTTTTACATGTATTCTGTGGTGAATTGCATTGATATTTAAATGCTAAACCAGCTTTGTATTTCTAGGATAAGTCCTACTTGATTATAATGTATTATCACTTTTATTTATTGTTGAATTTGTTCTGCTAATATTTTGTTAAGGATTTTTGTGTTTGTTCACGAAGTCTGTAGTTTTCTTCTAAAGTGTCTACCTTAGATTCCAAGGCAATACAACTTGATAAAACGAGTTGGGAAGTGTTCATCTTTCTCTATTTTCTAGTTATTTGAGTAAACTTGTTATTTCCTCCTTAAGTGTTTTATAGAATTTACCAGTGGAGACACCTAGAAATGGAGTTTACTTTGTGGGAAGATTTTTCATTAAGAATCATTTTTTAAATAGACATAGGACTTTTCAGCTTTTCTCTTCTTCCTTTTTTTTTTTTAATCCTCACCTGAGGATATGTTTATTGATTTTAGAGAGAGGAAGGGGGTCAGGAAGAGAGAGAGAGAGAGAAAGACAGATAAACATCGATGTGAGACAAAAACATCAATTGGTTGCCTCCTGTATGTACCCGACTGGGGATTAAACCGGAAACCTAGGTATGTGCTCTGACCGGGAATCAAACCCACAACCTTTTGGTATAGGATAACACTCCAACCAACTGAGCCAACTGGCCAGGGGAGATTTTTTAATTCTTTCCTTGATTAGTTGGTTAGTTGTTTCTGTGTCTTTCAAGGAGTTTGCTTATTTCATCTAAATTGTGAAATTTATTGGAATAATTTGTCTATACCAGTGATGGCAAACCTTCTGAGCTCGGTGTGTCAGCATTTTAAAAAACCCTAACTTAACTCTGGTGCCGTGTCACATATAGAAATTTTTTGATATTTTCAACCATAGTAAAACAAAGATTTATATTTTTGATATTTATTTTATATATTTAAATGCCATTTAACAAAGAAAAATCAACCAAAAAAATGAGTTCGCATGTCACCTCTGACACACGTGTCATAGGTTCGCCATCACTGGTCTATACTATATCTTCAACATTCTCTTAATGTCTCTAATATAGGAATAAACCTTTATTTTTTTTTTCCTACAGAGTCTTAGAGTCAGAAATCCCTTATGTGCAGAGGATCTCAAATTTTCAAAAGGTTTTAAAACAAAGTTGAAATCTTCTGCCTTTATTTTATTTTCCTTTAGGGAGGAGGGGGGGAATAAAAGGAAGGGGGAAAATAATAAAAAGTGAGATAAGGTGCTGCCATGTCCACTCACAGGGAAGGTTAGGGAGAGAGGGGCCTTCTGCCTTTGAAAAAAAAAAAAGAGAGAGAGAGAGAAAGAAATGTGTACTATTGCTATTATGGTATTGGAATCTGCTTGGAACACCACGCAGTGACTGGGAAAGAGGCACAGGATTAAGCAAAATGCCCGACCCTGTGTGTTGGAGTTGACCAATTTCTTCCTACTTGTGTTATAACACAATTAAGATAATAATTAACTAACAAAGTTTAAAAGCAGGGTGTGTTTTGGCACCTTCCCTAAAATAATATTCTCAAGAGTCTGAAAAAGGAATCTCAGTATAGTTTAATCATAAGACCCGTTTTTAAAACTCTTCTAAAAGCAATAGGTAATTGAAAAGAATATATATATATATATATATATATATATATATATATATATATATATATATGAAAGCCTAAGTGACCGTTCGACCGTTTGACCAGTCGCTATGACACGCACTGACCACCAAGGGGAAGACACTCAATGCAGGAGCTGCCCCCTGGTGGTCAGTGTGCTCCCACAGCAAGAGTGCTGCTCAGCTGACCAAGGGGTGCCAGATGCAGGGCTCACGGCTGGTGAGCACAGCTGGGGTGGCACAAGCCTCTCCTGCAGACACTCCCCCTGCAGGCGTCTCCCCCATCCGGACTGGAATCAGAAATTGGGACCAGCATCGGGACTGACTGGGCTTGAGCCCACGGCCGCTTCTCGGTCATGGGTGCACCGTTGTCACCCTAGGATGGGCACGCAGAGACCACAGCAGAGCGGCAGTCAGCCAACCAGCAGCAGTGGTAGCAGGTGCCGTGAGGCTGGGATGAGTGGGAGCAGCATGGCGCCCGGCCGTGCTCCAGGCCACGCTGAGGGACCACACCGGTGCACAAATTTGTGCACCAGGCCTCTAGTATATGTATGTAAACTTATTGTATAGAGCACAAAAGTAATATTTGGCAGTAGAATTAAGCACACACAAAAAATGTTTTCTCTTTCTACCATAACTTTTGACACCTGCTCCCACATGTTTATTCTATAATCTCAGAATTGCATACTCAGATACTCTGAATTTAATGTCAACAGTGCATGATATTTTATAAAGAATATTGTGGCTTCTAAACATCTGTTGAAAATCTGAGAAGCTCTGCTCATGAGAACTTTCTGATTCTAAAACTCCGTAGGAAAATGTGAAACATTTTACTTTGAAGTTTTATTATGAACATTCTACTGCTGGATAGGATCATTTAGTCTACTCTTCACATGATACATAAAAAGGTCCTCTGAATCTATGCCATTTATTTAGGTCATACAGAGCTGGTGAAATATCTGGAATGGAACTCCATGCATTTTCTAGTACCCCTCACTGATATGGGGGCCTGACCACAAGTTTCTTAGTTCTCTAGGTATATCATCCTCAGGTGCAATTATTAGGTTAACATGATAAGAGAGTAGCCATGCCTGCTATATCTCCATACAACAAAACTAACAATGACTATAAAAAAGATGGCATTCAGAGTAGTAATTCAAAAGACCACTGTCAGAGTAGATTCTTCCATTTGTATTAAGAAATATGTTCTTTTTTTTTCATTTATTTATTTATTTATTTATTTATTTATTTATTTATTGCTTAAAGTATTACAAAGGGTATTACATATGTGTCCATTTTATCCCCCCGCCCTAGACAGTCCCCTAGCCTCCCCTATCCCCCAGTGTCTTATGTCCATTGGTTATGCTTATATGCATGCATACAAGTCCTTTAGTTGATCTCTTACCCCCCTATCTCCTGCCCCCCAACCCTCCCCGGCCTTCCCGCTGCAGTTTGACAATCTGTTTGAGGCAGCTCTGCCTCTGTATCTATTATTGTTCAACAGTTTATAATGGTCTCTATTATCCATGAATGAGTGAGATCATGTGGTATTTAGAAATATGTTCTTTTATGAATATCACATACTTCAGCCTTTGAACCAGATTAGAACTTAAAAGAGGGAATAGAGAAATATTTTGCTTTCTCTCTTTTCTCCGTGCTTTTTTCAGGCTTAAGGGCTGTATAGACCATTGTGAAATTTGCCCAGTCCTAAACTATGAAGTTGTTTTAGCCTGTTGGAATTATGTTACTCTCCCTAGCCATTCTATATCATCACTGCCTCCCTTTCTCCATTCAAGAGAATGCAATACATTACTTGAATGTGGCCTGGAGAATGTATATGGCATCCTAAGAATAATTGTTGCAAATGAGAATAAAGTTAGAGTATAGGAACAATTCATGAGCAGGTCTAGTTCCATGTGTTATACTGTTCAATTGCACACTAGACAAATAAGCTAAGAGCTGTGTATATACTTTAGAATATTTAGCTTTAGCTGCAAAATGAACTCTCAAGTAAACAGAATGGAAACTGAAGGCTGTCCCACTCATTTTATCTTCTGACAAATGCAGTATCTGGATAGACGTCACTTAAAAAAAGTCAATAAGAAAAATTTTAAATGAGATTATAAAAGGTACTGCAGCTTAAAGGAAGGGAACAGTGCTCAAAATATTTTTAAAAAGTTATATGAGAAATATAATTTTAGAAAGAAATTGCTTCATTGGTCTTCACTAAGGGTATGAATGGTATAGCCTCCATGAAATAAGTGTTTTGGCCATCAGACTAAGGTGAAGACTAGGGGTCTAGTGGTATCCAAATGAATGGGAAACAAATACAATAAACTACAAGTGCAATAGTTTTAAAATCCTCTCAAGATGAAAGTTGTAAAAAGTAGAATTGACATTCTTGACATCAAATCAGAAATCTGGAAAACAAATTTGAGATGCTGATCAAGAAACCCTAGAGTGGGTTAAAAAAAAAAAAAAGATACTTCTTAAAATAGAATGATAAAGGTTAAAAACAAGAGCTGATGATTTTATTTATTCAGTTAATTTTTACTGAGTTAAGAATTTTCTAGGTCTTTTATTTTTCATCTCTGACATACATTTTCTACTACTAAAAGGGTGCATATCTATAAACCCTACTGTCTCTGGCACTTATTTAGATCTATGGAATTTAGTAGAAATATGAATAAGTATATCAATACAAATTATTGAATTATCTGTTCTTTTTTCATTGATTAAAATGTTTGGGTCTATTTGTGGACCTCTTAATTATTTGGGTGGTCTTTCTATTACCAAAAGTTTTATTTAATTTCTGATTGTCACTGGTATACAGAAATAAATTTTATATTGACTACATCAGTGATCTTTCTAAAAATCACTTATTAATTTGAAAATTTGAATATTTTAAAAGATTTTCTACTTATGCAGCATCTGGGAATAATGAAAGCTTTATTTTTTTCCTTTCCAATTCTTAAACATTTTATTTCTTCATCCTGCCTCCCTGTGTTGACCAGAGCCTCCAGATAGGTGTGTTTATATGAGTGCTCTTGCCTCATTGTCAATGTCAGTAATTGATTCTTAAGTATGATAGTCACTGTATTTCGATATACAGACAACTTTATCAGAATAAGGAAGTTCATTTTAATTTATATTTTGCAAATATTTTCATCTATTTTGTGAGAAATATTAGTCTGTAATCTTTCTTTTCTTCTGTGATGTTTTGATCATATTTTGGTATTATTATACTATCTTGACTTCATAACATGAGTTGGGAAATGTTCTCCATTTTTCTATTCTCTGGAGGAGACGTGACTAATCATTTAAAAATACAAAACAAAATCACAAACAAATATCACTTCACATCAATTAGGATGGCTACTATTTAAAAAATAAGTGTTGGTGGAGATGAAGAGGTTGGAAGCTTTGTACACTGTTAGTGGGACTGTAAAATGGCACATGAAAAACAGCTATGAAAAACAATGTGGCAATTAAAAGAATTAAAAATAGAACTACCATATGATCCAACAATCTCTTTTTTTTACATCTAGAAGAACTGAAAGCACAGCCATGTTCATTGCACCCATTTGCAATAGCCAAAAGGTGGAAGCAACACAAATGTAAATTGACAGAAGAATGGATACACAAAATGTGGATATGTTTTACAATGGTGTCCCAAGTAGATCCTGGGAAAGGATCTGGGATGTTTATCTAAGGCGGCCCTTGAGATAAACTTTAACCATGCAGGCGTGGGACATTCAAGTAGCTGCTAGAGAAGAGGCTACTCTACGCAAGCAGGACCAAGGGCAGGCCTAGGACCGAAAAGACCAGAAGCTTCAATTTTAATTTTAAGCATATGCCAAATAATTCAATTAACTGCTGGAGGAATTACACCACATGAAACATATGCAGTTGCAAATCACACAGCACTTTATTACTCACACAAGTTCCTGATGCTGCGGGTGCAGGCTTATTGGGGATCCCGGTGGTGTTGTCCTCTGGGATCCGGCAGCTGGGCTGGTCCAGGACGGAGGCAGGGGCCTGGCGTTCCTCACCAGAGAGCTCAGTGGCGTCTCAATCGGGAGGTACTGGCTGTTCTTCTGTCACCTGGCAGAGAGAAGAGCATGGAGCGGCGTCGCTTGCTGGACTGACAAGAGGACGTGCCTTTGTGGCTGTCATGGCAGGGGAGCACTTGGCTGGTCAGGACCCCCATTTTTAAAGCCTGTCCCACACCCGCAGTAGTTCAGGTGGCTATCAATGAATTATGTCAATGCACATATGTTAATCTCAAACAGGGCAAGGGGCTACATGTGGAGAGTACATCACTCACTCAAATGGTTATCTTGACAAGTCACTCTGAGTCAGTTACTGAAGTTCAAATCTTTATCTATGAAGGACGCACGCTTCATGGCAGTGGGGATTGTGTCCTTAATACCACACTTTAAGTTTCAAGGAAAGTTAACTAAACATTTTAAAACATTTCTTAGACATTTTCAAAGCATTTTTAAACATTTCTATATAATACTACAACAAATGGAATACTATGTCCCCTTCAAAAGGAAGAACATTCTATCAGATACAACAACAGAATCTTGAGGATACCATGCTAAGTGAAATAAACCAGTCAGAAAAGGACAAATACTGTTTGATTCTACTTACGTGAGGTATCTAAAATAGTTAAATTTATAGCATTTGAAAGTAGAAAGGTGGTTGCCAACAGGGGAAAAGAAGTTGGTATTTAGTGGGTATAGCGTTTCAGATTAGCAAGATGAAAAAGTTCTGGAGATCTGTTTACAACAGTGTAAATATACTTAACACTACTGAACTGTACATTTAAAAATAGTTAAGGTGGTAAATTTTATGACATGTTTTTTACCACATTAAAAAATATATATAAATCATATTTTTAAATGAAAAATACACTTGATAGGATTAACAACAGGTTAGATGTTGCAGAAGAAAAGATGTATAAATTCAAAAAAATAGAAACAATCCTAAAGGAAATACAGAAAAGAAAATAGTGAGAGGTGAGACAGCTAAAAAAGATATAATATATGTGTAATTATACTAGTAGTCCCAGGAGAAATGAAAGGGAGGGGGAAGATATGATATTTGAAGACATAATGGCTGACAATTTTTCATATTTGATGAAAATTCTAAATCCACAGACCCAAGAGGTTCAATAAAATCCAAGCACAAGAAACATGGAGAAAATTACACCAAGGAAAATCAGAGTCATATTGCTCAATACCAGTGATAAAAATTTCTTAAAACAGCTAAAGAATAGACTGGTCATGTTCAGAAGAAAAAAGATAAGCAATAAAGCAGAATTGTTGTTGGAAACAACATAAGACAAAAGAAAGTGAAACTACATCTTTAAAACATTAAATTAAAAAAAAAACACTTTTCAATCGAGGATTCTACACCCAATGAAAATATCTTTCAAAAAATACTTTTTTCAGCATACAAAGGCTGAAATAATTCAATACCATCATACCTACAGTACAAAAAATATTAAAGAAAATTCTTCAGGCAGAAAGAAAATCTGTCATGACAGAAGCAAGATCACTGGTTGTACTGAGGGGCAGGGAGGATGAGAGTGGGGTAGGGAAGGCCTCTTTTAGAGTATTCCATTTCCCATGGACTTGACAGAGCTGAGGGAGACAGACACAAGCTGTCTGAGGGAAGATCATTCCATACAAAAGGCCCAGTAAAAGTGAGAGTCTGTCTGGATGGCTCCAGGGTCAGTGAGGGAATTGTGTAGACAGGACGTAGTGAATATGACGATGAAGAGGGGAGGTCAGAAGCAATGGGTAGCAAAGTTGAGGCCATTCTAAGAAGATTCCAGCTTCTGTTCTAATTGAGATAGAAAGCCACAGGAAGGTTCTGAGCAGAGACATGCCCTGATCTGACATATTTTATTATTTTTAAATTTTTATTTTTAAACTAAATTGTTGGGGTGACATTGGTTAATAAAATTATATAGGTCTCAAGCATACAATTCTATGATATTGGCACATTGTGTGCCCACCATCCAAAATCAAATCTTCTTCCATCACCATATATTTGACCCCCTGTACCTTTTACAATAACCTATCCCTAAACGCCTACCCTTTGGTAACCACCATACCGTTGTCTTTATCTATGAGTTTTTGCTTGTTTGTTCCTTTGGTGCTTTTAGTTTTGTGTCCCACATATGAGTGAAATCATATGGTTCTTAACTTTTTCTGTCTGACTTAGCATGATATTCTCAAGATCCATCAAACTAAAAAGTTTCTGCACAGCAAAAGAAACCACCAACACAACAGAGAGGCAGCCAACCGAATAGGGGAAGATATTTGCAAGCAACAGTTCTGAAAAGAGGTTAATAATAAAAGAGGTTATATATATTTATATAAGGAACTTATACAACTCAACACCAAACAAACAATGCAATTAAGAATGGGCAAAGGACCAGAACAGACACTTTTTCCAAGAAGACATAAAAATGATCTGACATATTTTAACAGGATCCTTCTGTCTGTTGGTTGAGAATGGAGAGCACATGGGAGTGTAAGAAGTGAATTAGGAAACTTAAAACACATGAGAGTTGGAGACTGTGACAACTCTGATGCCAGTTTTATGGAAACTCAGAGAGGAGAAACAAATGTTAATTGGAATCTTCAAAGAGAAGCAGCTGGAGGGGTTGTGAAGAAACAGGGAGCTCTATCTCTGTAAAAAGGAAAGGGAGGAGAGATGAGAAGCCAGCAGAGAGGAAGGCAGCACAAGTACTACTTCGACATGTTGTGACAATCTCTGCCACACAAGAAGTGTCTGCTTTGTGACAGGCCCTCTGCTCAGCACTTTGCACTCATAATCTTTAATAGCCCACAAGGTATTATTAACATTTCAAAAATGAAGGCATTCAGACTCAGTATGGTTAGCTAGTTATTGGAAAAAATACAAAATAGAAGGACCTATTCAGTTCCCTTATAGCTAGGAAATCATTACAATGCTTTATGGAAAAAAATTAAACCTATGATAAATTAAAATTGCATAATATTTTGCTTATTTCTAGATGCATATTTATTTGAAACAGCAGGAGGCCTCACAGGACATGGTCTTTGCTAGACTCCAAAGGCAGTGCTGAGATGTTTTGCTGTCTTTGCAACTTCTCGGCTTGGTCAGAGTCAAGAAATCGTTGATGAAATTGGGCCATTTACTCTGGACAGGAAGAGACTGGGATGAAAGTGAGGAGATAGCTTACTCTCTGAAGAAGGGCAGGCACATGGAAAAAAGATCAGACCCATTTTCTAGGGGCTCTGCGGCAGGAGTGAGAGAGAGGCAGTTCAGCTGGACTGATGAGCAACTTCCCTAGGCTGGCTGGTGAGCAGTGGAACACGCTTGGGTAGCCTTGGGCTGCAGATTGTATAATTCCAGCAGAAATTAAATCACAGTCAAGAGAGAAGTTCAACACCAGATGGGAGGGGTGGTCCCAGGAGTTGACTTCTACAGCTTTTCCAATTGACATTTAGAACCTTCTGGCTGTTGGTGGAGGCACATAGTTCCCTGACCTTTTCACCGCAAGCAGCAGAGAACAGACCCTTCTGTTCTAAAGCTCAATAATGGAAACACCAGCTGCTGGAAAGGCGGTCTCCCACGGAAAGGAGAAGAAGAAACAGCACTAGGAAGGAAGAGCTCGTGGTTCCTCTCTCTGTTCCTATTTTTGAATCAACCAGCTGTGCATCTTTATTCTCCACACTCCTCACCTATAAAATCAGGAGGTTCAATTTGAAGAAATTTAAGGCCATTTCTAGCTTTCATGACCTATCGTTCTCTCATGTTTTTTTTTTAAAGTAGCTGCCTTCGGCTCACTATATATTATCACTTCAGCTTTCCTTCTCATAAAAACCTGTGCATTCCAGTGTTGCGGGGTTTGGTTTATTGTCTATTGGTTGGGTAATCCCTCAGCCTTTGTATGTAAAAACTGAAGAGCTCCATGTTTTGCATGCAAAAGATGCCACAGAGGAGGCTTGGGATTAGTGGGATGTGATTTGGGGGTATCAGGGGACATAGTAATGAGAGAATAAGAGTGACAGATTTTTTTAAAACATAAATCAAGTTCACAAAGAGACTTTCATGTGCACAGCAATAGTGAGAACTGACTCCGTGCAGACATGCAGTCCTGTCAGGATCGATTTCTGTTTTTCCTCTCACACAGCACCTGGGAAGGCTTTGATTAAGCTCACAGGATGTGCATGAGAACAATTTTACTACTGGCGACTCAACCTGGAGTCAAACCTGGAGTTCAGGACACAATTTTATTCAAGAAGCTATGAAACCACACGCTCTGTAGGTGAAGAGCTAAAGATGAAAGTACCTTCTGTGGCTGGCAGTTAGACAGACATGAACAGAGCAATGACCATAGGCCAGGTGCAGAAGGTCACCAGGGTGAATGCCCTGGGTGCCTAGCAACGAAAATAGGCAAAACTGGGAAAACAAGGACCTTACCCCCAAGGTAGCCTTTTCTCCCCTGGTATCTTGTGGCCCCTGATCTTTCATATCACTGCTCATGAGGTTCGGACCTTCCCCTGACCTTTCCTCCCTTGGAATGTCTCTAGTCATGCGATAGACACCCTTCACGGAGGAACAAGGGGCCAAAGAGTGGCCTCATGAGACTTCTATTTTGGCCCTTTGCCTGACCACTCCCTTAAGCATTAATCCTTAGGGATAACATCGAGGCCTCAGTTGCGTTTCAACTCTAGTCCCAGAAAAGCAGCAAAGCCAGACAAACGATGCAATGGTTGACATCAGGACCAACCAACTGCATTGACCCTCTGCTCAGTGGAGACCATGACTCTGAAAGGACACACCTGGAAATCTGATGGCTATTCTATTGAGATCCTCCCCTGGGACCTCTCCTAAGATCCCTGCCCTTAAAAGCCCTGAGGAGGAAGGACTCAGCATACTCTTCCTTTGGGAGTTATGTTTGTGCATTTTCTCATCCCCCATTCCTTCCCACCCTAGGCCTGTTACCTTTACCATTCTCTCTCCTAAGCTCCAAGGGCCCTTCTTTTGACTCTGTAACTTGTTTTCTGAGCCCATGTGTTTTACCACTCACTTCTCCTACCTCAGTGACTTTCTAAATAAACTTACTTTTATAGTTTGAGTCTTGGCCCTGAATTCTTTCCTATCCAGAACTCAAGTACTGAGGTTGCTGAACCAAGATGCAATCTGACCCCACTGGTCTAACACCTCCGTCCTTCCCTTCTCCTTCTCAGAGCTCCTCAT